GGGGGGGGGGAGAAGAACATGGTACAAAGTATCCAAATACACTCACTAATATCTTGGCTAATTCATACATTTCAAAAATATGTATTAAGATGTGTATAACATAGCTCTTGTCCAAGACATTAAAAAAAAGACAATAAAATGCGGTAGAATGCTTATAAGATTCTTAGAGAGTACAAATAATGTCCTGAAGTTCAAAAGTAAAAAACCAAAGCTTACACAGAAATTAATTTTAAAGTCAAAAACTACATCAAAAAAATGAAGAAAACGAAAACATTCATAAGCATTATTTACTACCCCTGAACTAGAAAAAACAGAAAAATTATACACAAAAACATTCAAAGTATTAAAAAAAAAGATTAGATTTGTATTTATGGTAATTTGATCATTGGAAGATCTTGGCATGGAAGTTTTCTTTTAAATCAATACAAAGAACGTTCCAGTCAAAAGCAAAACTTTGACTAAGATCCATAATAGAGACTACTAATTTAATCCAATAGAGTTCTCTGGTTGTTCTACTACGGGAAAGATTTCCTATCTTTTCTAAGATATGCCCCACAAAAACTACTAAAATTTGGTTTCAGGTATGAAGAAAAAAAAAAAAGGCAGGTGAAATGCAAGTAGAATACCTTTTATCCCTATGAGTAGAGTATAATTATTTTAGTAAACAAAAGAAAATACAGTTTATCACTGCTACTTATAGTAGACAAGAAATCTATACTACACATTTCTCCTGAGTAAATAAAAATATAAATGATCCAAAACTAATTGTTATATTTCCAAATAAAGTTAAATGGCCTGTAAAATATCTGTGGCACTATGCAAGAAAATAATGTTGATATTTAACAACATTATAACAAAAGTAAAGATAATATGAAGTAAATAATCAGATAGGATTTGACAGAAAAGTAAAACAAAAAATCTATATCACAATAATCCCATTTTAAACTRCTTCAAGTATGAGTCAGTATTCTTCATTCACAAAATGTTTTGGAGTACTATTTAAAAAAAACAAAACATTTGTACATGGAGATATTTATCTGAAGTTAGAGCCTCAAGTTCTGATACCAAATACTTTTACAATTATGACCATAATGGAACTGATATTTGATAGGCAGCTTCGCAAAGATGCATGTTGTATAAGGACTCACTCACTGAGCTAAACCCTTAGCTCTAAAACCATTCGTGTGGTGTGTTGTTATTTTTTTTAATAAAGATATTCTGTCCTTTGAGTTAAGGTRCAAAGTCAGGTTCTGATACCAAACTTTTATACAGTTGTAACTATAACAGAACTTCATTCAATAGGCAGCTTTACAGAAATGTATTACATGAAGAATAAACATTCTTTAGGTTTTAAGGAAAATAAAAAAATGCTTCAAGGGAAGAAAGGAAGGAAGAAGGAAGGGAGGGAGGGAAAAAAAGAAAGAGGAAGGAAGAAAGAAGGGCTGGGAATGTAGCTCATTTCTGACAATATGAAAAACAGACTGCAAATCAAAAATGAATCTTAAAGCAGAGTGCAGTGGTGCATGCCTATAATCCCAGCAACTTGGGAAGGAAGCTAGGGAAGAGCACTGCAAGTTCATGGTCAGCTTCAGCAACTGAGTGAGAATTCTGTCTTAAAATAAAAAGGGCTGGGATGTAGCTCAGAGGTGGAGAATCCCTGGGTTCAATCCCTAGTATTGCCAAGGGGGGAAAAAAACTTTACACAATTATTTGATTTAAAACTCATTAAAAGCCAGGAACACTGATGCATAACTGTAATCTCACAATGTGGGAGCCTGAGGCAAGAGGATTAAAAATTCAAGGCCAGCCTGGGCAACTTCAGTGATAAATAAAAAGGGCTGGGAATATAGCTCAATGATAGAGGGTCCCTGAATTCAATAGTAACACAAAAAACAAAACCAACAACAAAAAACTATTATAAAGCTTTTAAAAAATATTAACTTAATTTTAAACATACTGGTATTCACCTCTCTAACTTCATGTACTATCTTGACATAAAGCATTTCAATATTTTCAAAATGTTATTTTCATAGTTGTGACTGGTCTTGTAGTTATTGATAATGAAAAAAAATACACATTTTACTCTGAATACATCAATACACATTTTACTCTGATACATTCACACTTTGAACATTAGATGCTAATATTTATACTTTAATGTTTTCTAACATTATTTCTAATGGCTTAATAAACATACCGAAAACTGTGAATGCCCTGAAGTTCCTGCTGYAGAACCTCCTGTGTWGTTGCTATTAAGTCCAATGCTCCAACAAATTCAGAAGTAGATAATAACACCTGCACTGWAGGCTGAGTTTGSTGTACAGTGGCCATTAACTTCAGTTTATTGYATACTTTRACACAATTATTTCTGGTAAGAGCCARTCTTAAAATGTGTAGTGATCCTTCACACATTACTTTATCAATCTGTGMAATTTTATCTCRAAGCATTTTTACAGCTTGGGAAGTTTTCTTGAGGTAGTCCTGCAATTCATGTTGAGAGGTCATTGCATGAAAAAATGCTTCTGAACGTAGAGAGATCTGTTGAGCAATGTTTACTTCCACAATGTCCAGATAATGGCTCAGCTTTTAAAAGGGAAGGAAAAAAAATTATGGAGAATTATAAGTATCCAAATATTTTCTGAAAATGAAAATAATAAAAGTCTTCTACATGTATTTTCAATTGCATGGTGTGAATTATTTGATYATGGAATCCTTGGAATCAGGGGCAACATGACAGAGAGATGAGCCCAAAGAATAATAAATTAACTATTAAAGAGCAGGTTATTGACCTTTCTCTGCTCCTGCCAAACACAACCCACCAAACACTCTAAAAGAAAAGAGTACCCCAAAGCTATAATTATAATTAAGGTTATAATTCTAAGGTTATAATTCTTATTATAAATAAGGTTATAATTCTAGATTTAGAAGTTGTAAAATCTGAAAGTGATCTTCACAAATATCACACATATCTAAGTAGATGACTATAGTTTCATTGACTGACTTTCTTCTGTGTTTTAGGAACAGGTATTTTGTTTGTATCTAGTTTTTCTAATTTAAATAACCTTTGGATACAAGTATAATTATTACTTTGCAGATGAGGAAACCCAGAGACATTAAATGACTTAAATTAATCTGTCAGACTCAAAAACTGAAGCCCTTTCTACTATATTATGCTGCTTTGAAATGCTAAATAATCCATGAAAGACAGACTGGCAGTTCAGACACAAATTATAGGAAACACCAGAATTTGCTTGGATCTTTTCCTTTTTTTCTCCTCACATTTTTTAATCGATGCATTCTAGTTATATATACTAATGAGATTTGTTACACATTCATACATGCACACAACATAATTACATAATTGGGCCAATATCACTACCTGGATCTTTTTCCAAGGCTGCTTATTTTACATTTCAAAAATGATTATTTTATACATTTATAAATTTTTTGTTTTCAATATACTGTTCTCCTAAAAGATTAACAAATTTCCTTAAACACTTAGCTCATGCATATTTAACACTATGATTCTTATAGTTATATATTAAACACGCTTTATAAATTTCAAATATAGACTTCTAAAACTTAATTTGTCCTTTCTTGCTTTCTAGCTGCATATGCCTTTGGGGACTATATTATCATTCCATCTCTTCCATTTTTTTAACTTTTAGTTTTTTTTAATCTACACTCAGACTCTAGGCACTATCTCTGAATATCTCTTAGCATTAAAGGGTTGATCGACTCCAACATTTAGGATTTAAATGATTAGAAGAGATTATTTAATCATTAAGACTGTTTCCTTAAAACAGTATCACTTATATCTTCAGTAACATTCTTTTAGTAATTTATTATAACATACAATAGATCAAAAACAAAAAAATTTCTAGAGATTATGTCTTGGGTTTATACTCTTTGACTCTTGTTTTCATCTCCAATAGAGTTGTTCATTTATTTACCTAAAAAAGCATCATGAACACAAATGTAGAAGGGTAGACTACAAATTCAAGTGGACACAAGTTTCATAAAAATAAATGAAAAATGGATAGCCCATTTAGGATAGTGCTACTCAGATTGTAGTTTATAAGTGGCTGCCAATCTTAGACTGTTTCATAGGTCCATGATAAAATAAGGAATTTTGCCAGAATGGAAATCGACTGTATCAGTAAGCTCTCCTCCTCCTCCTCCTTCTCATCATCGCTGTGCTAGGGCTTGAATTTGGGACCTCACACATACTAGGCAAGTGCTCTACCACTGAACTGCATTCCCAGTCCTTTTTTCCCCTTCTTTTTCTTGCTTAATAGAAAGATTCTTAATGAAAGAAACTATGTGATTTGCATTCTGGTAAAAACCCCTTATCTCATCACAGGCCAGCACTTTGGGTAGCATAATATAGAATCCAGATTTCTTTAATTCTGGTTGTAGCATCTCTTCTCTAAATCTAACAAGATAAATCAACTGTTGTCCATAATAGGAGCTTGAAAAGCTGTTTTAGAATTGTCTTCCACTCCTAACAACAGAGCAGAATGAAAAGGAGTCAGAATGTAAATACTGCAAACCTGATTGTGTATATACAAATTTTAAAATTTTTCCATTACTTTAGCCATTTTAAATATTCAGGATAAAAAAAAGTATTTAATTTCAATTTCAAATGCTTTTGGAAATCCACTGATCTATTCTTTTCAAAGGCACAATTTTTTCATAAATATTATGAACTGTAAATATCTATGAAATACAAATGCCATAAAAGAAAAAAATGTTTAAAATATTCCTAAAAGTATCTGGGTAGATAGACAAGATTTTTATTAGCTTTTGTTATTGCTGTTAAGGTATTATTCTAGCAGGTAACAGACTTCGGACTGTGAAAATGCAGTCTGAGAGCAAGCTTGTATCAATAATTCCTGCACTTTGATCCAATTTATGAATTTGTTCTTACACAAGGAAAATCTCTTTATAGATGAAAATGTTGCCAAAGAAAAACTGAGTTCATTTTCATTTTTAATTGTGAAAAAAGGAATATTCATGATTCTTGTTTTTTAACGTTTTAATTTTTAGTTTTAGGTAGACACAATATATTTATTTTATTTTTATGTGGTGCTGAGGATTGAACCCAGTGCCTCATGCATGCTAGGCAAGCACTGTACCTCTGAGCCACAACCTCAGCCCTCATGATTCTTTTCCAATATCTCTTTTGTTCTCCTCCCTAAGTTAAAAGTCTTCAGTTACTGAGGAGGACTGGACCTAATTTACAAACAACCTTCCTAAGAAAAGCTTTCAGATTGCTAAGCAATGTCACTATAGTGAAACAAAGCAGTTTCTCATTTTAATCAGTCAGTTCAAGAAAGGCTCTAAACCAAGTGGTAGGAAAGAAGAGAGATCTAAAGTTTTTACCATAATTCAAATTTTAGAAATTCTTAATAGATTATGCTTAAAGTTCTAACTTTTAAATGACTTTCAAGATGTTGACTTCTGAAATATAGAACACTAAAAAATTTAAAAACCTATCAACTACTAATATTCGAAAAGCAAGGCTTTTGTAAAGCTAAAATTACAATAGGAATATTGTATTTTTTAACCTAAGACATCTTGCTTCAAAATAATCATCCTTATGATGAAAATAAGGAAAAAAAATAGTACCTCAGGAAAAGTTTGGTTTCTGTACTTTAAATCATTCTGATAAAATTAGCTGATACATAACAATCATTTGGGATAAATGCAAGCAATTTCCTTCATTGTGTCATCTAATATATCTTTTCCATTAAAATTCCATCAAGTGCTATTTCTGATGAAAAGCAAATAGTAAAGTCTCTCTTTTTCCACAAGCCCAACTTTTATTCCATTGAACCAAAATGTTATTAGTTTATCAGTTAAGACAAAAAGGCTTATGTTGACAGTAACAACAAAAATGAACTTGCCTAATGTATGCAAGGTCCTAGGTTTGACCCCTAGTACTACAGATAAAGAGAGAACTTAAAAGAAGTAGAGCTTACTCGGTAACTAAATCTGAATTCACTAACAGTATCACTTACTCAGAAGTTTTCTATATGGAAAGAGAGAAATTACCTTTTCTTGAAGCAACTTTGAGGAAGCTGCATCACGATTTCCTTTTCCACCAGCAGTATTAAAATGAGACCATGGTAAAACTGAATTMAAAGTTAAGGAATCGTCCAAGGCAAAATCTGGTTTCATAAAAATCTATTGAAAGAATACATTTTCCTCAATTAGATGAACATTTTCTTTATTATCCCTTCTAATAATACAAGACCACCAAGCAAAAATCAACTTGAGCATGAACAGAAAAAGCAAGTGATAATAGACTAAATTATTTATCCCAAAATCTGGATCAGAATTTTATATACACAATGTTTCAACAAGCTTAAAATGCTCATCAAAGGTAATGCTTGTTTGTTTCCCTTTACCAATGGGGATAGTCATTTCATTACTACATGATCAAACTCACTAATGTAGTCCCACTAGGGACATAACAAAGGGAGATACTATACCTAAAATGTCTGTGTCATTTCCCTAAATAGTTTTTTTTTAATGTTAAATATCCATTTCTCTAATTTTTTTCAATTCCTCAAATTTTATTTCTATTTTCTCCTATGCATTTTTTTTCAAAATTAGTTTTTAGAATAAACACACTCAAATATAAAACTAAAATTCAATTTTACAAAGACTGTTCTTCCTTTCCATACCATATCCAGCTAGTCAATAGGACTTATCAATTGTATTTCCTAAATATTCCATGAAACCCGTCTCTCCTCTGTCTCCTTAGCATATATCAATTTATCTCTTCATAATCTCTAGTTTACAGTAAGTAGTTATGTTACTGATGTTCCTCCCTTATCTATCCCCTGTATTACTCTTTTAAAATGTCAAGTATAATTTTATCAACTTCCCACCTAAAACTCTCAGTGGATTCCCATGACCTGCAGACCAATTAAGAATGGTATCCAAACTTCATCTT